TCTTCTCTCCTTGATTAGTTTCCATCCATTGTTTCTCATCTTGCCTTTGGGGGCTTTGGGAAATAGTTTGAGCCCCCCTCGCTTCTTTGCAGGAGCCCCCCCAAATATTGGAACACTGCTATCATGTTTGAATGATTAGGACAAAGGTGTGTCAGATACACACAATTTTTTTTTTAAAAAAAATCATTTTTCACCCCCATTCTTTTACCTGGGGTAGAAACGAGAGGGTAGGGGAAAGGCAGGAGTCACACAAATAAAAACACAAAACTCCGTTCTTGGATCTCTTTCCATTTTAAACCTTCCTTTGGTTTAGTTTTACCCTTTGCCTTACAATAAGGTTTATTTGAAGAACAAATGTGAATTGCGTAGAAGCAGCCGCATTAGAGGCTGACGTGCCTTCACTGTGAATTCATGTCGTTTTTAGAGCACTATGGCCATGATCACATGTTCTCTCCTCTCCCCAAAATGCAATTGGAATTTAGAGGCTTGTTGAATGTCGGGGGGAATGAGTGGGTGCAGTGGCCTAGAGGTGGAACTCTTCGCCTCACAATCAGGCGGCTGTGGGTTCGATCCCAGGTAGAGGCAATTATTTCACACTGAGAATGTATCTGCTGAATATAACTCCGCATTGGCAACAGGAAGGGCATCCGGCCAGTAAAAACACTCAGCTCCATTCAGTTGCTCAGGTTCCAACTCGCAAGGGGTTATGGTGCTGTGAACAGTGATGATGATGATGATGATTGAAGGCTGGGGTTGGAAAGGACTTCGGAAATATGTTCCAAATCTCTTCCCGAGGACAAGATCCTGAAATCATTCCAGATACATGACTGCTTCGCCTTGGATTTAAAGCTTCACTGAGCACCAGGGCTGGCTGGGGAGTTTTGAAAGTCCATCCATCTTAAGGTTTCTGAGGTTGTGGAAGTTTGCTTTAATAGATCAAGGTGTATGCTATGCTTGAAGTGATGTTTGTTCCATTCTGGCAAATCAAACCCCAGATTTGCTAGGAAGGTTAAAAGGCCATTCAAAGGATGGGTGGGTGTGACCTAAGGAGAGGTTATACTAGTATATACTTGTGACCAATAATCTCTTAATGACCCCATAATCCCTTGAGGGGTGGAAGTCTGGGCCACGGAATGGAGCTGAGCGTTTACTGGCCGGATGCCCTTCTTGTCACCAATCCAGAATTTTGTTCAGCAGATATATTCTCATTGTGCCCAGAGAGAGAAATAACTGCCTCTACTAGGATCGAACTCACAGCCTGATTGTGAAGCAAGAGCTCCATCTCTAGCACCAATCGCTGTGCCAAAATGAACCACTGGTGTCCCATAGAATCGAGAAGCTATACTTCCTATTGAGGCCTAGTGAGGCCTAGGGACCACCCTGGTGGGAAGGAAACAGCGCTCTGTGTGCCTTCGGCATTTAGTCAGTGGCGGCCACATGACCACGGAGACGTCTTCAGACAGCGCTGGCTCTTCGGCTTTGTAACGGCGATGAGCACTGCCCCCTAGAGCCGGAAACGACTAGCATGTATGTGCGAGGGGAACCTTTACCTTAGCATTCATTAGTGCTTCATATTCAGAAGTCAAGATCACAGCTTAGCAATAATGCATAAGTCCTGTCTGTTTACTACAAATTGGAATGAGAAACCAGCGACTCGGTGCAGTGCTGATTTACCCGATTCCTACGTGGCTCTTATTTTTTTCCCCCAACCAGATTTCTGTAATAGCTCTGCACTGTGTACTTTTGAAAAGAAAATGATGGAAGAAAAACATGCCAATATGGGTACTAATGGCAAAAGGCACATTTTTCATTTGCTTCTGTCTTAAAATATGGGAATGTATAGCCGGTCCTCAATTTATAATAATACATTGAGCAACCCAAGTTACAATAACACTGAAATAAGTTACAACTAGTCCGCACACTTCTGACCCATGTAGCACCCCCATGGTCATGTGATCCAAATTTGGGAGTTTGGCAACCGTCATGTATTTAATAAAATGGTGGCAACATCCCGGGGTCATATGATCTCAACCGGCTTCCAACAAGCAAAGCCAGTGGAGGAAGCCAGATTCACATTAAAGTAACTGCAGTGATTTGCTTAAAAAAAAAACCTGGTATTAAGTTCATAAAATCAAGCCAAAATCACTTAAAGGCCCAAATCATTTAACTGCCTTGCTTAATGATGGAAATCCCATTTGTGGCCGTAAGTTAAAGAATACCTGTGCAATTAAGTCTGTTATTCTGTTATGTCAAAGGTGTCAAACTTGATTTCATTGAGGGCCATATCAGAGTTATGTTTGACCTCGGGGTGGGGTGGCTTAAAAATTTAGCAACTGTTTCTCTGCCCAGTTGTTGGGCATGGCCTAGTCAGCCTCCTGCACTACAGTGGAGAGGCCCGTTTTCACCCTCCCTGGGTTCTGAAGGCTTTCCTCGAGCCTCCTGGAGGATGAAAATGGCCTCCCCGGGCTCTGGAGGCCCTCGAACCCTAACCCTTCCAGAGCCTCTGGGAGGCATGTTTTTCGCCCTCCCTGAGCCTCTGTGCGGGCCCTGCACTTACCTTGGATCCAAAACGGTCCATGTGGGGACCCCCTGGGAGAGGTGGGGTGGGGTGGTCGGAACCAGCCAGGGATGGGATTTTCCGGTTTGCCAAACTGGCCATAAAATTAACTACCGGTTTGCCCAAACCGGGGTGAACCGGTATCAGCCCACCCCTGGGGGGGACATGGCCAGGGTAGATGTGGCCAGCTCAATATCACTCATGTGGTGGCCTGAACACTCTGTCAGGGAAACCATTTTCACTGGCAAAAGGTGACAGGAGGCCGTCGCAGCTGAAAACAGAGCTCAGGGGGGCTGTATGCAGCCCTCCCGAGCTCCATTTTTGCTGGGAGGCACCCCACAGGCCAGTCTTTTGCTGTTTCCAGAGTGGCCCCCACGGGCCAGATCTAAGCACCTCATGGGGCCGGATTAGGCCCGTGGGCCTTGAGTTTGACACTCCTGTTATGTCCTCTTCACTTGGGAATATGCCTCAAGGTTTGCAAGTTATTCTTAAAAAAAAATACATTCATGGATTTGGAACATCACAGGACACAAAACTGACATCTTTTAATGATTTTTTAAAAATGGATTTTTAAGCCTTTGTTTTTAGTTTGCTATTTCCTGGCATATCAATTGTATTTGCTCTGCTTTGCACGATTGCTAAAAAGAGACGAGACCATCGTCCGCCATAGTGGTAGGGGAAATGGATGAATACTGGGGCTGGTTGGGCTACAGTTATGACCAAATTTTCTGTTGCTACATGAAGCGTTTGTTTTGCTCCATTTTACTACCGTTCTTGCCACAGTGGTTAAGTAAACTATTGTTCTCCAAGTAACCTAGATCCCTGTCCCGAGATTGCAGCTCAACAAAATGGCTCCTTTTTTCTTGTCACATTTTGCAGAAGACAAACCTACACACACACACACACACACACACACACACACACACACACACACTCAAAAAGAGAGGAGGAGATTAAAATGCAAATAAAAGTTGCAATGGTTTCTGGCTAGAAGCTGGGCAAATGCAGAATTTTCTAGAATCTGGATATTGAACCCCAAAATGGTTAGCTAAATGTTTATGGTGATTCTCAGTCATCGAGATCATGGTTGTCCCTGCTTTTTCTAGAGTAGAGTAGAATAGAATAGAATAGAATAGAATAAACTTTATTGTCATTGCATTCCATAAATATAATGAAATTTGAAAGCTACTCCAGCATAGTGCCCCAAACATCACATCACAATCATACTACAGAGTATTTAAAAATTTAAATAACTATAATAATAATAATAAGACTAAATCACAAATGCATTGTTTGATTCAAGACAGTTACTGCCTTGGAAAAGAAACTGTTTCTCAAATCTATTAGTCCTCATTTTAAGACACCTAATACGCCCCCCTGATGGTAACAGTTCAAAATATGAATGTCCAGGTCTGTGGAGATTTTTAGTGTTCTAGAGAAGAGTCTGGTCTTTGCAATCTCTTCCAAAGCAACTGGACTTTCTGGTGTTTCTTTGAAGACTTTGCTTCTTATCCAAGAAACTTGAAGATGTTTTGTTTCTTATCCAAGAGCTGAAAAAGCTTCTTGGATAAGAAGTGAAACGTCTTCAAAGAAAAACCAGAAAGTCCAATTACCTCACAAAAAAGCACCTTTGGGACTGGATGTTGAATGTTTTTCAATGCATCATTCCATAATGTACAGCTAGTCATCAAATTAAAAGTTCGTTTAGTGACCATTCAAAATGACAACGGCACAGAAAAAAGTGACTTAAGGCTGTTTTTCATGCTGTTTTCCGTGCTTACAACCGTTGCAGCAAAATTTTGATCACCTGATCAAAATTCACACACTGATTCATATTTATAATGATCGCAGTGTCCCATTTTGCAACCTTTTGACAAAGTCAACAAGGAAGCCAGATTCACTTAACAACCATGTGACTAAGTTATAAACGGCCGCAATTCACTTGAAAGAACCATGGCAGGAAAAGGGGGCAAGACTCACTTGACAAACGGCTCGCTTAGCCATAGAAATGTGTGCCTCCGTTGTGGTCGTAAGTCGAGAACTACCTATAGCAGTGATGGTTTTTTTGGTGGTGTGCCAAAAGCACGTGCCCACCAGCACCCACAATGCAATGCACACCCACCCACCCACGTGCATGCACGTACAACACCCCCTGCCTCCCCCTCTTACCTGCACTGCGCATGCCTCCCAGCTGATTTTGGGGCCATTTGAGGCCTTTTTCGGCCTCCCAGAGGCTCAAGGGAAACCTCTGCAGCCTTTGGTGGCCGAAAAGCAGGCCCATTTTGTTTTTGGGCTTCCAAAGGCTGCAGAGGCTTCCCTCAAGCCTCTGGGAGGCTGAAAAAGGCCTCAAGTGGGCCAAAAATAAGCTGGGAGGCTCATGCACACGCAGTGCCATTAAGTTTGGCTGGGGCTCATGTGCCCCGCAGAAATGGCTCTGCGTGCCACCTGTGGCACACATGCCATGGGTTCGCCATCTCGGACCTATAGTCCCCCCGCTGGTCAGTTCCTTTGGCCCCCAAAGTGCTGGGATGGAGAGAAAGTTCATTTGGGGAGAGGAGAGTTGAGACCATTTGTTTCGTTCCTGGAAAGGACCCTCTCCGTCTTTTGAGCCTCGCTTGGCAGAGCCATCGCCCTTTGCAGGCTTCCCACGACCCAAAGGTTTTTCCGCAGCGGGTCGGGGCGTTAAAAAACAGGCCCCGGGTGACTTTTGCAACGGCTGCAGCCAGCCAGCGTCAACAAGGCAGGGTGGGGGCCGAGGGCGCGACGTGGCAGGAACCGGCCCGTCTTCAGGTGAGCAAAGGCTCTTTATATAATCCTCGCCTCTTCCAGATCTGCCGCCGAAGCTCCCTCTGGCGGCGCGCCCGTGGAACTGCTACTCGGGGCGCCCCGATTGCCAGACTCCCGACGGAAAAGTGGGGGGGGGGGGTTGTGGCCAGATCCGGCTTGCAAAACTCCGGACCGCCTCTAGATGGCAGCAAGACCTTGCAAGTGAACTCATCTGGGGCTCCTTGGAAAGGAGGCGGCTCGCTGCTCCGCCTCTGGGCTCCGTGCGGGATTCAAGGAGAACCACATGCCCGGATCTGAAGGGTGGCTGGGAAAATCGTTCGTTCGGAGCACGGAGCGAGCGTTCTCACGATCCGCGAAGGAGCGCAAACAGACAGCCCCGAGGCGCAAAGGCAAGCGGGCGAGGGCCGGGGTGGAGTGGAGTGGGGACGCCTTTTAACCGGGACGAGCCTCGCAGGCAAAGAAGAATCCGAGCGGCGGATCCGCGGAAAAGCGGGGCTCGATCTTGCAAGGGATCCGCTGGGGATCCAAGATCCCAGGAACTTGGCGTCTTAGGTAGTTAGGATTTTCTGTCCCGAAGTTTCTTCAAAACCCGGAAGTGAGGCTTCACAGGGCGACTGTGCTTTTCGACGCGCGAGAGGGTTAAGCGGGACAAGCCGGGAATCCCTTCCGACCACTCGGATCCTCTCGCCGAGGGCGGGGGTGGAGCGATCCCGTTAAAGGGATCGCTTTCGGAGACAGTCCGGGGCCCCGTCGCGTGCAAACGTCAGTCAGGTGCAGCTCAATACAGCAAGGAAAGGCTTATTTCCCTCTCCCTCCCGGGTGTGGATTGTTCTTACCTGTTGCAATGGCAGCGGAAGAAGCACGGGTGGGTGTGCGCGCGGGTGTTTGAAGGTGCGTCTCCAAAAACTGGAGTTGACTCGGGTGCAGCTCTCGCTATATAGCAAGAGGAGTTTTCCCGGGTGTAGATTGTTCTACCTGTTGCAACGGCAGAGGAAAGCCCGGGTGGTGTTATGCGCGTGTATTTTTAAGGTGCGCCTCCAAAAACCGCAGTCGAGGGGGTTCCGGGAGAGGCAGTTTTTGCAAACGGAATAATAGGTGGAGTAGAGATGTTGTGCTGGCCATTTAAAGCACCGAGTAAGGATTTTAATAATCCGGGGAGATCAGAGATGACAAAGAAGTAACATTTTTTTGTCTGGAGTTTCTCACTCATCCAAGTCACGGTTGTCCCAAAGCTGCTTTTTTTTTTTCCCAAGAGGCAACTGGGCTTTTCTGGTTTTTCTTTGAAGACCTTTCGCTTCTCATCCCAGAAGCTTCTTGGAAGTAGCCTTTTTCTATCATCTAGATGGGGGAGAATAGAAATAGGACTAGACTAGACTAGACTAGAATAGAATAGAATAGAAAATAGACTAGACTAGAATAGAATAGAAAAAAGAATAGAATAGAATAGAAAAGATAATAGAATAGAGAATAGAATAGAATAGAATAGAATAGAAAAGAGAATAGAAAATAGAATAGAATAGAGAATAGAATAGAAAATAGACTAGAATAGACTAGAAAATAGAATAGACTAGAAAATAGGCTAGACTAGAAAATAGAATAGAAAATAGAATAGAAAATAGAATAGAATAGAATAGAATAGAATAGAATAGAAAATAGAATAAAAAATAGAATAGAATAGAATAGAAAATAGAATAGAATAGAAAATAGAATAGAATAGAATTCTTGATTGGCCAAGTGTGCTTGGACACTCAAGGAATTTGTCTTGGTGCAAATACTCTCAGTATACATAAAAGAAGAGATGCATTCGTCAAGAGTCGAGAATCATAAGGTACTTAATGATAGTCATAGGGTACAAGTGCAAAGCTCTTTAGCCCCTCCCTGCGCCTTCAAGGGGAGAGGTGGGCAAGCCCAAATGCTTATCCAAGGAGAAGCCCCTCCTCCCTCCGTTCTCTCCCCTTGGAGAGGTGGAGCTTCTAAGCCAGGTGTGCTCCGATCTCCTGCCCTTTGCTCTGGATGGAGTGGCTGAGGAGCAGGAGAAAGGTAAGAGGGAAGAAGTTGCAGACTACAAGAAATAGCCACCCCTCCCTCTCTCCAGGGAACGGCTCCCTCCCCTTTCCCAAACTGGGGAATAGGAAGGGAGATTCAGTGGGCGAGGGCTTCCTTCTTATTCAGCCCTCCTTGGTCCGTTCAAAGTCCAGCCCAAGAAGTTTGCTGGAAGCTGGTTTGCCGGCTCCGCTTTGGAGGCCCAAACCCTGGTTTGCAAATTGCATGCCAAAGTAACCGGGGTTTGAGGCATCTTCCGTGGCCAAAGCCGGAAAGTGACACCGCTAGGCTAAAGAGACCAGAAGCCTGACTCAGCGGCTGGTTCTTCCTGTTTCGGGATCTGGGCAGGGCTGAGAACAGAAAGGTTGTATTCTTAAGGACAGGAGTGTGTACCTGTCGGAGGGCTTAGCAGGTTGCTCCAGGCCTGCTGGAAACCAGCAGCAGTCTGACCTGTTGATTTGGGAGGTTCTGGGGTTTGGTCTGCAAAGATGGATGGTTTGGGTGGCACGAACCCTGCTGTGACTGGAAGGCTTTTTAGCTTTGTTTTGTTTTTTTAATGGACTTGATTGTGTAAATTAGGTCATACTAGCAGGGTCACCCATGCTTCGCTACGAAACTATGTGATCAGGCAAGTTTTGGGGGAGGAAAATAAGAGGGTGAAAAAAATTGGGCCTCTGCCTACCAGCATCCATCAGTATTCATTTAGCTAGCATCGTGTCAGTGTGTGAGACAGTCGAGGGCTGTTTGGAAACTGAAACAGTATTTGCTGTGTGAGCAAGAAGGCGACAGGAAGGGGCCTGGGCGTGGCTTATCTCAACTGTAGTTGGAACAGATTTCTTTTCGGTTGGGGAGGGGGAGTAGAACTCCTTATCATCAGAGCATGTCAATAATAATATATGAAATACTAATGCTCTGATAGTCATTTCAGAAAATCCTTCCTTAGTGAGCACCTAGCAGCTAAGAGGAACATACGTGCCAAATTTCAAGTTTGTAGGCTTTATGGTTCTGGAGATTTTGTGATGATGCATGAGTGGTATTTTGCATTTATATATATAGATTTGTGGGAAAATGTACCTGATTCATTTTTAAACTGGAGCATGACCCATAAGGACTTCTCTTTAAAATATGACAGGTTCATGTTTCTCTCCTCTCATTTCTCTCTCTCTCTTGTGACACACACACACACACACACACACACACACACACACACACACACATCCTTGTTAGCCTTATCAGTTTTGTAAACATTGGAAGAAAGTTCCATATGGGATCTCTCCATGCATGTAAACATTAATGACAGTGAACCAACCTTATGTAATTCCTTCCCTCTATTGATCTTTTCCTTTAAGCCTCTTATAAATCGATTACCATCTGCCTCCTTTCTTTGTGATCCAACTGGGACTTCCTTGTCCACAGTTGTGCTCTCCAAAGAAAATTGAAAGTGTCAGGGAAGAGGAACAAAGATGATTAGGGCACTAGGGGCTAAAATATATGAAGAAAGGTTGCTGGAACTGGGTCTGTCTAGTTTAATTAAAAGAAGGACTAGGGGAGGCATGATAGCAGTTGTTCCAATATCTCAGAAGGGCTGCCACAAAGGAGAGGGAGTCAAGCTATTCTCCAAAGCACCCGAAGGCAGGGCAAGAAGCAATGGGTGGAAACTAACCAAGGAGAGAAGCAACTTAGGAGAAATTTCCTGATCGTTAGAATAATTAACCAGTGGAACAACTTGCCTCCAGAAGTTGTGAATGCTCCAACACTGAAAGTTTTTAAGAAGAGATTGGACAATCATTTGAAATGATCTCCTGCTTGAGCCAGAGATGGACTACAATAGTGATGGCTAACCTTTTCGGCACTGAGTGTCCAAAATTCAATGTGTGCACATGCCCCACGCATGGATACACATCTATGTGCGTGCATGCGCATCCCCTGTGCATGTACCTCACCCCCCCTCACATGTGTGCATGTCCCCTGTTGCATACGCCCCATCCCCGGATATGCATGTGCATCCCTGTGCCTGCACCCCATCTCCCTGCATGCGCCCCACCTCCTGTGCATATGCGGCGGAGACCCGAAGACCAGCTAACCGGTGGGAGGCATGTGCACACGCATGCACAGCGGAGCTGGGGCAATGGCTTGCAACTCACAGAGAGGGCTCTGCGTGCCACTTCTGGCACGCATGCCATAGGTTCGCCATTACGCGACTAGAAGATCTCTAAAGTGCCTTCCAGCTCTATTGTGATTGATTGATTGATTGATTGATTGATTGATTACTCTTGGATTCTGGGTCATCTGAAAACAGCTGGTTCTTCTTTGTGAAGTTTGTATTTCCTAGTTGCCTGGCCCAGGCAATCTTTCTTGGCAAGGAGAAGGATGAAAGCTTGTCTATTTTTGCACTGTGTTTCCCATTCTGTGTAATTACTACATCTTATAAGACTTGGAACAAAATCACAGCATAGACTATTGCTTATGCCTTTTAAAGCATGTTTTTATGCTTTTTGCTCTTTGCTGGTCAAACACAATTACTCGACTGAGCTTTTTGGGGGGATGGTGGGGGGGGAGATCCCCATATTTGTTTTTCTGGAAGGTTATTTTGCTTGCTTGCTGCTTTCGCCAAACTTCCTTCTTGTCCTGAAATTTCTGGTTTGGGTTCTGCGAAGATTCACGTTCGGGGAATCAGTTTTGTAGAACTGTTGTGCTTTTCCGGCAGCCTGTGCAGATGGCAGCGGAATCGGACAGTGGGGAAGAACGGGTACCAATCCAGGAGTCTGGAGAGGACTCGGATGAGGGTCTTGCATCCAATGCAGAGATGGGGGCCAAGACCATCTGGGAGTGGGGTGCTGACTCCAGAGCCTCCGGAGTCTAGCAGCAGCGAGGCAGAGGACCCAGGGGAGCCTGTTCCCAGTGTGTGTGTGCACAGAGCTGCTAGAAGGCAAGAGCTGAGACAAAAGGGGTGACGCAGGAGTAAGGCTGGGTGGTGATTGCCCCTCCTATGAAGTACAAAGGACAGGCAAAGGTGACGAAACCTTTGCAGGAAGCAAAGTCATTCGTTCTGTTCGGATTAATCCTTGAAGCTCTTGTGTGGACTTTGTACTTCGGTTGGTTTTTTTTATAGTTCATTTGGCACTTTGGTTTTTGGCAGCAATTCAAAGGAAAGAAAGGTGGGTGCTTATCTTGAGGGACTGGGACTCATTATAGGCTGGGAATGCACATAATTCCCAGCATTGAAATAAAACAAGAGTTGTTTTAACTAAGCGTATGCTTAATTATGGTCTCAGAAAGCCTTGATCAAAACAAGAACCCTATAAAGTGGGCACATTCACAGTGGGAATCTGTGGTGGCCAGTTTATTCCTTGGTTCATTTTGTGGACTTGCCAGAGACCTACAGAGAGTGATTTTTTTAAAAAGTCAAGATGGCAGCCATGATGGTTCAGTAAAATAGACTAGAATAACAAGAGTTGGAAGGGTCCATGGAAGCCTGAGGAAAAATTGGAAATAAAAGAGTCCTTTCTCTTTCACTTCCAGCGCTTCTGAATTCATGGAGAGCCCTAACAATTTCTGCCGTCTTTGTGGCACTGTGCTGCGTGGGAATCAACGGCGGTGGCTTTTCAGCCGGAGCAGTAATGGCGCGCGCCCCGACCTGCTGGTGATACTGTCCTATGTCCTCGACCGAGAGCTTCCCCGGCGTGGAGATGGGTGCGGAGAATTCCTGTGTGGGAAATGCGCCCAGGCCTTGGGGCGGGTGTACCATTTCGACACGGTCATCGCCCGGATTCAAGCTCTCTCCATTGACCGCCTCCAGCGCCTGCTTTCGGAGAAGGACCAGTTGGCCCGCTCGCTGCGCCACATCTACACGCGGCGGTTTCCAGATAGTGGGGCCTCCGTGTCCTATGCGGGCCAAGAGATCTCAGCCAGCATAGCGGATTTGCCCCAAGTGCAGTACCAGCGCCTCCTTCAGGATGATATGGCCCTCTCTGAATATGAGTGCTGGGCTGACAGCCCTGACAGCAGCCGTCCGGGCACCCCGTGTCGGAACCGCCAATGTCGCAGCTGCCACGGGCTGAGGGTGGATGACAACAATTATGAGTGGGTGTGCCGGACACCAAGGCGACTGGGAACCTGGTCCCCCATCTTCTCCCTCTGCCGGGACAAGTCACAAAGCATGCCCACCGTGTGCTGCGCGGGCTCCCAGGCCTCTCTGCGGTCCCAGAGCTTGGGGGACGTCGAGTCGTGTTCCATGCTGTCGTTGGACACTTTGCCAGAATCAGAACTTGCCTGGGAGGCGCTGAAAAACCTGAAGGACATTAGAAGGAAGCGGCTGAAGGTCCCGTTGGGCAGTAAGATCCCTGTCCTGGTGGACAACTGGCGGGGGGCCACTCCCCAGAGAGAGAGCCCCGTGGGAGAAGAATCCTATGTGGACCTGATGGATGAGTTTCTGCCTCTTGAGCCAAAGGTAAGAGGCACAAAGAAGTAAGGGAGGGTTGGCTGAGATCAGGCATTATCCTAAGCTGTGGGATGTTCCAACCCCCATTTGTTCTGCAGGTAGTCCTCCACTTACAACCATTTGTTTAATGACAGTTCAAAGTTAGAATGGCACTGCAAAAAAAATGACCATTTTCTACGCTCATGACCATTATGGTATCCCCATGGTCACATGATCAAAATCCAGGTGCTTGGCAACTGACTCATATTTATGACGGCTGCAGTGTCCTGGGAGTCACGTGATCCACTTTTGCATCTTCTGAGGAGCCAAGTCAATGGGGAAGCCAGTTGCAAAACATAATCACCAAACCGGTAGTTGAATCTCACCCCTGGGCACCTCCAATTCCTAGTAAAAAGGGGCCGGGCTACAATTGCTCAGGGTGTGTCTGCCATCTTGGTTTTTGCCCCTAGGCCAGGGGTGTCAGACTCAAGGCCCCTGGGACAGATCCAGCCTGTGGAGTGCTTCGATCTGGCCCACAGGGCCAGCCGGGAAATAGCAACGGCCCTCAGTGCCTCTGCCGGTGAAAACAGAGCTTGGGAGGGCTGTCCGTGGCCCGCCCGTGGCCCGCCCGGGTTCTGTTTTCAGCTGTGATGGCCTCCTGCTGCCCTCTTCCAGTGAAAACACGTGGCCCTCCCAAAGCTCTGTTTTCACTGGGCCACCGCAGATGCCACCAACACTGACGTTGAGCTGGCCACACCCACCATGGCCACGCCCCCCCCATGCCCCCAGGTCAAACACAACCCTGATGTGGCCCTCAGTGAAATCGAGTTTGACACCACTGCCCAAGATGGAACCTAGGTGTGTCCCTGCCCTATCTCAACAGCACCATTGGCAGAAAAAGAGGTGTGTTTGAGGAATTCTGGGAATTGAAGTTCACGCATCTTAAAAGATGCCAAGGTTGAGAAACACGGCTCTTAAAGGACCCTTGTCGCTGACAACTCAAGGGTGAAGAAGGAGGTGGGAATGGAATGAACTCAGAAAGGACCGTTGTGATAAATGCATACATTGAAGATTGTCTCTGTTGCCCAAAGACTGGGGTGGGTAGTGGAAGCATGGCTGGCTGGGGAATTCTGGGAGTTGAAGTTCACGTACCTTAACATTGCCAAAATGGAGAAAGACTGGCTTAGAAATTCAGCTCTATCTGAGCTCTGAGCTAGAAATTAGCAGAGGTGGAGAATCAGGACTCCAGGAAATCCCAGATGTTCCACAACCCACTGTAAGTGTGATTTATGAATGAATGTCTAGTCTAGTGGGAAAAAAAGGACTAAGGGTGACATGATTGCAATGTTCCAATATTTGAGGGGTTGCCACAAATAAGAGGGAGTCAGTCAACCTATTTTCCAAAGCTCGAGGAGGCAGGACAAGAAGCAATGGATTGAAAATATTCAAGGAGAAAACCAACCTATAACTAAGGAGAAATTTCCTGACAGTGAAAACCATCAGTGGAGCGGCTTCGCTCTAGAAGTTGTTGGTGCTCCATCACTGGAGGCTTTTAAGAAGAGACTGGACAGTCTGTATGTCGGGGTTCCGACAATTGCCCTAATTAAATCATGAGCCTCAAGCCAAGCTTCAAAAGAATCCAAAAGATTTATTAGGAGCAACATGTCTGGCACTTCCCCCCCTCCTTGTTATGGCAACTCGGAAATAGGCATAGGAATGCTTTACGAGTTGACACTGTATGTATTCTCAGTCATCCAGGTCATGGTTGTCCCAAGGGTGCTTTTTCAGGAGGCAACTGGACTTTCTTGGTTTTTTTCTTTTGAAGATGTTTCGTTTCTCATCCAAGAAGCTTCTTCACCTCTGACAGGATAGTGGCTAAGAAGGAATGGAAGGAATCCTTCCATTCTCCACCATCCAGTCAGAGCTAAAGAAGCTTCTTGGATGTGAAGTGAGATGTCTTCAAAAGAAAAAAACAAGAAAGTCAAGTTGCCTCCTGAAAAAAAACACCCTTGGGACAAGAGACTAGATAGCCACTGTCTGAAATAGTATAGGGCAGTGGTCCCCAACCTTTTTTGTACCAGGGACCAGTTTCACGATTATTCATTCTTTGCGGCCTGGTGCAAAATGGATCCACGGACCGGTACCGGCATCAGTACGCACGACCAAGGCAAGGCGAGCCGAGCGACCGGCCAGCCAGCTGTCCCCCACTTCTCCTCGCCATCTTCAACTCCTCCTTTGTACCTTCTCGCGGTTGATGGGCTTTTCGGGCTCTTTCTTAATCTCCTCCTGAGTAACGCGAGACTCCACCGCCATCGGGACGGCTCTTTGTTCGAAGCCGCCCTCCCCTTCGATGAAACTAAGGCGTGAGGATTCCTTCAGCATCCAAACGCTGCTTTCCAACCGACGACTGACAAGCTCACCCGGAAGCACTTTCTCAAGCACTGCCGAAACAAGATGGCGGTGCCTAAACTTTCATTCTTTGTGGCCTGGTAAAAAATGATCCACGGACCGATACTGGTCCGGGGCCCGGTGGTTGGGGACCATTGGTATAGGGTGTCCTGCTTGAGCAGGGAATTGGACTAGAAGATTTCTAAGGTCCCTTCCAACTCTGTTGTCAGCTTTGGAAGCCATATTGAGACCAGATGCCCTCCCACACGGCCACTTTTTGAGCCTGGGAAAGTGGGAGGGGAGGAATTTCTTGGAGTGTACGTAGTTAGACACCATAACATTCTTTTTTCTAATTCAAGGTCATGTTATTTTGCTCATAAGTGAGGGGAAGTCTCAAGTTGGGACGAATGGTGATTGGAGCATGCATTGTGATGATGGGTGCAGGGGATGGATTTTGTAGTTTTGACTTATTGCCATGAAGCCCGGAACTTTCAGATTCGGGATTCCCCCAGTTTGTGCCAGTTTACTATCCAAAATAAAAAGAACTTTTTGAGAAGATGTCTTTCTCGGAGTTATTGGTTGGGAGTGGAGTTTTGCTGGAACGCTGACATTGTCTTTCCCAAAGCTCCAGGTTCAGCGGTCTCTGCACCAGGACCTCCAAAGATCTTTTGATAATTTGAAGGAACTTCTTGAAACAGCCAAGGGAGAGCTGAAGAGCTTCCAGGAGAAGCAAGGAGGGGCACCTAACCAGGTAGAATCCGTAAGTCTTCCTCGTCTCTTTTATTAAGCAGTGCCTCCCAAGCAATGGATGCCACCCAAAGGCAGAGGAATTGACCTCCAGCCTCTGGATCCCCCTCTTTGGCTCAGGATTTACCCCCATTTGTTTGCTCCGGGGGCAAATTAGTTTGACACCCAATAAACGGGGCTGGTGCAGGTTGAGAGAGAAACGGTGCAGCCTCTCTACTTCAGTGGGGCTTTATGTCTGTGTAACCTTATTCTGCCCACCATAGCAGCTCCTTTTCAGCCTGCTCCAGGTGTGTTTGAGACATATTGGATTGGCTTAAAAAAAAGGTAGGTTTCCCTATCCGTCGTGTCTGACTCTAAGGCATGGTGTACATCTCCGTTTCTTGGCCGAGGAGCCAGCCTTGGCTGAAGTCAACTTCTGTGGTCATATGGCCAGCATGTCTGTACACCAAAGGCTCTTACCTTCCCACCAAAGGGGTACCTATTAATCTACTTGCATTTGCCTGCTAGATCAAGGTCAAGGGAAGCACTAATACCCCTCTATAAAGCCTTAGTAAGACTACACCTAGAGTACTGCATCCAGTTTTGTTTACCACATTATAAAAAAGATGTTGAGACTCTAGAAATAGTACAGAGAAGAGCAACCAGGGTGATTAGGGGACTGGAGGCTAAAACATACAATGAACGGTTGCAAGAACTGGGCTTGGCTAGTCTAGTAAAGAGAAGGACCAGGGAAGACATGATAGCAGTCTTCCAATATTTGAGGGGCTGCCACAGAGAGGAAGGGGGTCAAGCTATTTTCTAAAGCACCTATAGGAATAATGGATGGAAACTGAACAAGGAGAGATTTAACCTGGAAATAAGGAGAAACTTTCTGACAGTGAGAACAATCAACCAATGGAACCGCTTGCCCTCGGAAGCGCCATCACTTGAGACTTTCAAGAAGAGATTGGACTGCCATCTGTCAGAAATGGTGTAGGGTCTCCCGCTTGGGCAGTGGGTTGGACTAGATGACCTACAAGGTCCCTTCCAACTCTGATTATCTGTTAAATTTGCTAGACAGGCAGGAGATGAGGCCAGAACAGGAACTCACTCACCCCATTGCGCGGAGCTCAAGTCTAGAACCCAATTGACTGAGTCAGAATTAAAGTAGCAGAAGAGGGAAAATATTGTGACTTGTTTAACCAAAGCCTGGTTTATTCCTTCCTCTGTCACTGATGCCAGAGAAAGTCAACTGACTGTGATGGGCTTAAATGAAAGAGGAAGTAGGCAGAGGAGCATAAGCCAGGATCCTGGGTTCAAATGGGAACATAAATTGTGATTAAAGCAAGAGAGGATTAGTAAACCAATGACTGCTTTGTTGTCTATAATAAAACACAGTTTTGGGATGAGTTGATGCATTAAGCTCAGCCAGAAAGGAGTAAGCAGAATTAGGGTTAAAATTAATTGAGATCCTTGTCGGACTGTCCTGTTGAGATTCCCTGGGATTAAAAACCAAATTGACATCCTTAGTGTTTCATTAAAGTCTGGGAGTGTCCTTAAATGTTATTTCTTACTGAATCTGCTCAAACTTTGAAGCCTCCATAATATTTCTAAACCCCAGGGTAATATTTTTATATTTCTTTGATCCCTTTTTATTATTCTTTTTCCTTACTTTTTTCAAAGAGCTTGTTCTATATTGTAAACCACTAGTGAAAATTTTATTGTTAAAGTTGCTTATTCTAAGTTACAATGAAAAAGATATATATATGGATGGATGGATGGATGGATGGATGGATGGATGGTATTCAGCTTTGTTTGGGTATTTTCCCACGTCATTATAGTTGTGCTTTTAAAGTTGTAGCAACGTTTCAACAGAATCTCATCTACCATCATCAGGCTTCTGTATTGTGTTCGTCTGTGAGTCAGACTTTCACAGCCGTTTCTGTTTTAAATTTGGGGCTAGCCTACTGCTGCGCCAGAATGTTTTTTTTCTTCATCCTGATTGGTTGGGAGTCTTGGTCTGTGTTTATTGGTCTTGGAGTTTGCTGTGTTCTGCTTGATTGGTGTTTCTAATATCTTCTGTCTGTTCTTTAGCATTTTTTGTCTTGTCCTGCCCTACATAAGAGGTAGTACAGACAAAATCAGTATGATACCACACAGGCATCACTTCAAGACTGCCTTCAAAACAGACAGAAAAATAGCAGCCACTCTAAGAAACCCCAAAGATAAAATTGACCAGGAAAACCAAGGCATATATGAAGTCCCCTGTGCATCATGCCCTGCCACATACATTGGACAGACCAATAGAAGAATAAGCACCCACCTGGATGAACACAACAATGCAGTAAAAAAGCTGGAACACACTTCCTCCCTAGTCCAACACATGAAAGCCACAGGTCATAGCATCGACTTCAATGGCACCAAAACCCTAGCCACTATAGAAAACCCCAGCCACAGAATTATCAGAGAAGCCATAGAGATTGAAAAAAGACCTGAAAGCATGAATAGAAGAGATGACTCCACCAGACTGTCAATTATTTGGAAGCCTGCACTCACAAACAAAAAAATCTCCACACCACAAGCCAGGCAAACACCTGGGCACAAACAGACCCGCCCCCCCAATACCTCTTGTTTGGGTATTTTCCCACGTCATTATAGTTGTGCTTTTAAAGTTGTAGCAACCTTTCGGCAGAATCTCATCTGCCATCATCAGGCTTCTGTATTGTGTTCGTCTGTGAGTCAGACTTTCACAGCCATTTCTGTTTTAAATTTGGTGCTAGCCTACTGCTGTGCCAGAATGGTTTTTTTCTTCATCCTGATTGGTTGGGAGTCTTGGTCTGTGTTTATTGGTCTTGGAGTTTGCTGTGTTCTGCTTGATTGGTGTTTCTAATATCTTCTGTCTGTTTTGTGGCTTTTTTTTTTTGCCTTGATTGGCTGGCAACATTGTGTTTCCTGTATTGGAGGCTTTTAGTGCAGCTTGGCTCCGAGTAAACGGACGGCTGTCATTTATTAGGAAACTAGGTTTCATCTGGGTGCCTGAAAATGGTGACCTATGACCATTTTTCACACTTACGACCACTGCAGCATCCCCACAGTCACGTGATCAAAATTCAGTCGCTTGGCAATTGGTTCATACTTAATGACGGTCGCAGTATCCTGAGGTCACATGATCCCCTTTTGTGACTTTCCAACAGACAAAATCAACGGGGAAGCCAGATTCACTTAACAACCAGGTTACTAACTTAACAACGGCAGCGATTCACTTAACTGGTCGTAAGCGTGAACTGGTCATAAGTCACTTTTTTTCCCCGTGCTGTTGTAACTTTGAGATGTTAGTAAATAAACAGTTGTAAGTCAAGGACCACCTCTATGACTTCTAGACATGCAAGATTCTGTTACTATAGCCTTGCGCTACAGACAGAGCTAATAATTCTGGCTATGCTTCTTATCCGGACTACCTCACAAGGCTGGAATGTTCTCCTTTTACTTCCCCCCCCCCCTCTGACCCAGGAGGCTGGTTTTCCACCTGAGAAGGCCATGAATCACCAGGAACAGCTGATCCATCAACTGACCAGGTGTCTGCAAAGCAAGGAGGAGGTGTTACAGGTGAGCCGAGCAAGAGAGAATTCACCTACAGGTGATCAGATGACTGCCTCACCTGCCTCATTTCCTGGGTGAAGGATATCCTAAGGCTATGATAGCGAACCTATAGCACGCATGCTGGAGGTGGAATTTTTCCATAAAAATATTCATTTATTTTATTTTGTCAAGCGATTATAAGATTACAGGTATAAGAATAAACATGGTTATGAATACATGAAATGGATACATATAAGAAAAATAAAAAGGAACAATAGGACAGGGACGGGAGGCACGTTGGTGCGCTTATGCACGCCCCCTACAGACCTCTTAGGAAAGGGGTGAGGTCAATAGAAGAAAGTCTAAGGTTAAAGTTTTTGGGGTTTGGGGAAGAAACCACAGAGTCAGGTAAGAGTATTCCAGACATTGACCACTCTGTTGCTGAAGTCGTATTTCCTGCAATCAAGTTTGGTGCGATTTACCTTGAGTTTGTATCTGTTGTGTGCTCTTGTATTGTTATGGTTGAAGCTGAAGGATTCATCGACAGGTAGGACATTACAATGTATAATTTTATATACTAAGCTTAGATCAGACCGAAGGCGGAGTAGTTCTAGGTTTTCTAGGTCTAGAAGAAATTTCAAGTCTGGTGGCATGAGGTATTCTGCAATGAGTAGAGGAGTGGAGAACTCTTCTTGTGAAATATTTCTGGACTTTCTCAACTGTGTTAATATCAGATACGTAATGCGGGTTCCAGACTGATGAGCTGGATTCGAGTATTGGTCTGTGTGCCACTTCCGGTATGCATGCCATAGGTTTGCCATCATGGCCCTATAAAATGGGTGGGGGGGAGGATGAAAGAGGAAGTCAAGAAAAATTTGGTCTTTTCAGAAAGGAAACTCTGATGCTTTTGTCTTCATTTTCTTCTGCAGGACTGTTTGGTCATCTTGCTGTCACTCGGATCGCCTGGGGTGAACCCCCCGCAATTGGAAACCCTGATCAAGGAGATGGCCCTGCGTCTGAAAGATAGAGACCAAGCATTAGAGGTAAACCAGGAAGAGGAAATCCCAAAGGTGCTTTTTTTTTTTCTCCCCAAGAGACAACTGGACTTTCTTGTTTTTTCTTTTAAAGATGTTTCGCTTCTCATCCAAGAAGCTTCTTCAGCTCTGATTGGATGGTGGGGAATGGAAGGATTCATGCTCCTTGCAGACAGCTGGTCATTTGCACTCTTTTAGAGAGTCCTTGGGGCCACTTGGAGATTTATCTGTGTCCTGAGTGGTGCAAATGGGTGTAGGAACTGCTGAAAGGACTGTGTTGGAGATTGGAGATAAGGTGATGCTGTATCTACAAGAGAGTCCTTTCAGCAGCTCCACACCCATTTTCACCACTCAGGTGACTCTGAGGACACAGATAAACCTCTATTTCTCTATCTATCTATCTATCTATCTATCTATCTATCTATCTATCTATCTATCTATCTATCTATCTA